AGCAAAAGGAAGGAGTGAATCACTGTGCGACAGAGAGGGCTCTGGTGCTGTTTACTGGCGTTTCTAGTTTGTTCTTCTCTGGTGTGCTCAGGCTGAGCCCCAGACCCGGTGCAGGGATGGCACTGGGCAGGCAGCCGGCTCTGGGGAGGTGTGCGGTAGGCAGAGTGCAGGCTCACACTGCATGTCTCACAGATGGGGGATCCATTTTTTTTCCCTGGATGATTTGTCCCAACGGTTAATCATCCTTACACAAACACAGGATTATTTTGGTTTTAATGACACACCAGTAAACAACATTCAGAAACTTCAGGATGGGCTTTCTCTTCGCCAGGTGATCTCTTGACTTCTGCCTACTCTATTAGCACTGCAGTGACTGCCTAAAATTGGGACATCACAGCTTCCCTGTGCCCTTGCAAGACTAGCTTTGAACTTGAAAGCCTCCTACACAAAGTGCTTTGCGCTGTCAACCTGGTCACGGTCGATGTGAAAAATGTGGCACTGAAGAAAGTGGCTTTCCAATAAATACATCCACAGTACAACCATGCATGACTCAAGATCAAAGACAGAGTGCAAGTACTGAGGTCATTAAACGTGAATAGAAATACAGAAATGCAACAGCTTGCATTAAAGGCTTAGCTTGACTTTAAAGTTAAGTGATGAAAGCTTATGTAGTCAGCGATTGTTCACCCGTGATAATGCTCTGCTCTTGCCATCAGTAGTTCTGTGCTTTACAAAGGTGAATAAGAATAATTAATCATTTTTCAGATGAAGTACTGAGGTGTGGGGCAGTTAATGACTTGTACCAAGTGAAAATAGGCTTCAAGATGCTCAGCATCATCGGCTCTAGGGAAAGTCAGAGCACTGCAGACGTCAGGCCTGTTGGAAAATCAGCTCTTGGTCACTGGCTTTACAGCCAATGGATGACTGAGGATTTACCCCACACAAGGTTCTCCATGAATGACACGGCATCAGAGGTCACCAGCGTAAGAAGAGGTTTGGGGTAAGGTTTCCACTGGCGCAGCCCCAGCCCAGCATAACTCTGCACCAGTTTTTAAAAGGCAATTTCACTGACAATTTTTCTCTCCATCTCTTTGAGATGTCACAATATTCTGAAGCTTAAGAACATGATAGAATGGCAGATGCTTCCTGGTTTGTATCACCATAGAGTTAATTGTAGCCTGTGCAGTGTTTTGAGCAGCCATAAAGGAAGCTGTGCTAAATAGAGGATTTTAGGGGACTTCTATTGGAAAACAGCCCCCCTGCCATGCTTCTAATAATTTTTTGATTTGCAGCATAACTATCTAATCAGCTTTCCAGGGTGTTCTGATGCTGCACAGAGAATCATCTAATGTGCAGCCTAAGTTGATGAAGTGCCTTGAGATACTTAGCATTGCATTGTGCCAATGTGTCTTACTCTGTCCAGAGCCTCTTCTCTCAGGGTGGTTTGTTGGCAATTCTGAGCAAGTGCTACAAAGGAGCAAGGTGACTGCTTAACCCTGTGGGGTAAGTGGCAGGGGTCCAGCCAAACTCCATGCATCCTTTCCTGGGAAGGGAGGGAAAATGGCAGCTTTGGTGTCCTCTGAGATCAGCCCAACATGCCCCAGGGCAGTCCCACAGCATATGGCAGAGCAGCCTTGTGGAGGTGTTGCTGTACCACGTCCGGGTAGAGCCCTAGGAAAGAGTTGTTGCTATCAGGCTAAGCCAAATTCCTGCCCATTTCGTCAAGGCTACAGGGCAACACCATTCTGGGAGGCAGCTTTGTCTCCCCTGGTGCATGTCTGGTAAAGGAAAAGCAAATGATGACAGGTTGTGGGCTACGCATCCCCCTGCTCATCCTTCACCTCTAGCACGACCACTGAATGAGACCTGTGCCAGACAAGAGAATTTGGCTGGGGCCAAATATTTCAACCCCTTTCCTAACAAACTCTTTCCAAGTCTAACAGTAGAGCTTGAAGCACCCCACAGTACTCCAAGCACTGAATGTTGTGTATCAGAGGTTGCTATAGCCACTACCCAGTGTCATTTTTCAAGCTGACCTGACATTTAAGTTTAGGCTAAAAACCTCCACTGGCTTAAAGAGTTTGACTGGGAATGTTTGCAAGGAATGTGTTAAATACCTGGTGAGTGAGGGAAGATGCCAGCAGCAATCAAGATTTTTCCAGAGCAGCTCTCAGGGCAACTGCAATTCTTCACCACAGGTATGCAAAAGCAAGCGCACTGTGACCTCTGAGCCAGACCACAGAGAATCTCTGGGGGAGATATCTTGGTATTTCCTGTGATACTCAGCACTTGTGTTGCTCAGAATATGGAAATCTATCACACATATGCCTAGAGGGGTATAGAGAAAACTCAATCTGTATTCTGGTCAAGCACAAGTAGATGGAAGAGCTGGGAGAGCCCTGCTGCCATGCAGCTCACCAAACCCTCCAAGTACTTTGAATTTTGGGCAGCGGGGATGAGAAGAGGGATTCAGACCATGAGAGTTCTTGCAAGTGACATCAGCACTTGCATAAGCTGCAATAGCTTCCCACATGGATGTGGGAGGTAATTATTAAGACCCAGCTCCCACCGAGTTTCAGCCATTAGCACTTCTGAGTGAGACAAGCAGCACTCTGGTTTCAATGGGCAGCTTGGGGGTATGGGGGCTTACAGCCATACCTTGCAGGTCCCAACAGCATCAGCAATGGCTCCTCGTGCTCAGCCCCTTCTCACTAGTATTAGTTCTCTATTTATTATTTGTTATCCAGAGCAGGTTTTCATCCTCTCCAGTACCCTTCTCTGATCTTGGCCAAAACATTTAATCTCTGTGACCCACTTTCCCCATATGCAGACTTAGAGTATGCTTTCAGAGCATGTTAATGCTGTGCTTTGGAAATGCTATTTTTTTCTTTTTTTTACAACTTTCTTATCTTTGCTCAGATTTCAGAGGAATATTTATCCTCTGGTGCCTCTCCAGCCCTTTCTGGTTTTCCGTATTTTCTTGGTGTACTTTCAGCCAGCAGGACAGACTTGCAAACTGGTGTTTGTTGGTGTGCTGGCACCAAGTACCGTTTCATTTTCTGCCATGTGTCTGTCCCTTAATATTTAGTTTCACATTTTCTGGAGTGAAGCCCTATTGCTTAACACTCATCTAAACCCCGAATTAAAGCTACTGGAGTTCCTTCTCTTTTGTACTAGTATGGCCAGGATCATAATCTGCCTGGTATTACAAGTACCTAAAATACAAAATTATCTCCAAACAGCGCTGATTTTGCCCTCAGAGTGTATAAGAAGTCCTGACGCAGCCCTGGAAGCTACATGCAAGCAAAAGGCATGGTATAAAGGTACTCTTCTTGAACTTTTTTGTTGTTACTTTTGTTGTAGTAAGGCTAAGCCTGATCAGGTTGCGACTGATGGTTTATAGCAAAGCATCTGTTATCTTCAGGGGCTAAGAACTGGACTTGCCCATCTCATGAGGGCATCGCTGAGATGGGGATGCCTATGCACAGAGATTAGCGTTTAATATAGCAGCACAGCTTGATAAACTAAGTCTAAATAAAACCATCAGGTCACCCAAAGGTGATTTTTCATTCCCCCACATATACGACTGACTATACAACTTGTGCTTAATTCTTCTAGAAGTGAAAAATCTGGTCCTTGCAGCTTTTAAGGAGGTTTTAAAAATAACTATTCTCCCAACTCTGTGGTTTAAATAGAATCATAACCATACTACTTATAGCCTGGAAGAGAGAGAGGATGCTAAAATATCAGGCATTTTTAATAGAGTAAGAGAAAGAAAACATTGGCTTGGGTATCAGCAGGATTAGGAGAAGGCAAGGTCTGAGTTAAAGATCACAGGCTTAAGCCCCTACTTAAGAAGCTTCTTAAGCTTTTAAGAAAATACATTTCTGCAAAAGTTGGAACCCTGCTGTAAAGCCCTAACAGTAAAACAGGCATGTAAGGTACAGCCAGAACACAAGTTCCCAGCAACAGCATCATTGGCTTTGCCCGTAAGTCTTTGTAACGCAATTCTACCCCAGTACTCTTCAAGATTCACTAAGCTATCATCTGATTTTCCAGGATGAAAATATAATTAGCACTAATAACCAACTTCTGCTGTGATCTGAAGCTCTTGACAGCTTTCCTTCTGTACTCAGATGCATTTTCCAACAGCTTTGGAGATGATCATTAAGTCTCACTTTGTTTTCAAGATACCCCATCCGTTTCTTAGCCCAGATCTGGCAGCATCAGTACAGCCCCATCTTCCTCCTGCCTACCTTCCTTGCAGCTATACTGAAAGCTCAAATTGCAAACTTCTTATGCACTTTAAGTAACATTACCTCTCTGGTGTTTAAATCTGAGTTAGGGGTAGAAAGCAAGACATAAAACCAAACCAGAAGCCCCACCTCACTCAATTCCCTGCCTAAATCTAAAGCTGCTTCCTTAAGCCTCTTCTGATCTATCACACACGTCCTCTGTGCTTGTTTCACAGTCAGGACAACTATTTCTCAGGTTATGCCTAACGACTTTAGACTACTCCCTACAGAAACACCCTTAGCACAGATTTCTACATGGCAACTGAGCTTCTCTCTGTCATTTGTGTGCAACTTGCTCCAGAACTGTGGTGATCAGTGTTTGTTAAATGTCACATGAGCCATCAGAACCGAAGCGTGGCAGGAACAGCTTCCTCTGAGATGGCTAAAAAGGTCTGTCAGGATCCTGCTATGAGGCTGCCAGTTAAAATACTGTCAGAGAAGTTGCTGCAGAACAATGAAGTAGGTTAAAATGTCATGCTTAATAAATGTAGATTACCCATTAAGAATATAGTTTATAAATGAGTACAGTATTGACCAAGCCACCATGTCAAAAAACTGCTTTGCCAACTAAAATTAGCAACCCACAATTACACACTATCATTAACAGAGAAGTGATTAGCTAAACAAGAAATTTGCTTTCGGTAGACAAAGAATTGTGCTATTTAAACCTGTTGCCCATCATGAACTTAAGTCTTCTTAAAAATAGCTTTAGTCACTTTTATTGGTATAAACACCTAAATTGAGATCTAACAGCAAATAAGGATTGTGCTTGTCCATAATAACCTCAGCTGCAAAATCTAGTCAGACACAAGACATACAACCTTCCACATACACAAGTTATTTGTCAGCAAAGCAGAATGCTGCCATTCTGTAACAATTACATACAGTAAAGGTTTTCAATATTTTATTAAAGAAAACAGTCAAAATGTACAAGTATTACCCAGGTTTGTAGATAACTTCCTATAAAGGCAGTAAAATATGAATTTCAATCTAGGTTTTAAAAACTGCTATAGTTGATTATTTTTAAAGTTGGTATTTTAAAATCACATTTCACAAATAGTTCTGAAATATTACCAAATGAATAGTGCAACAAGAAAATTGAAATTAGTTCTACACTGTTTGCATGTCAAGCAAAAGTTATAAGTAACTGCTTCAAATACTCAAACCATTGGAGAATGAATGAACTCAACAGCTCCCACCAAAAACTGACTTCTGACCACATTAGGAATGTCCTTTTCTTGTTCTTCACTTAAAATCAAATAATAAGAGAACAACACCTCTTGAGGTCATCAAAAATAACTTTAGTAGAAAATTGTCTTGGCCCTTATCAAATATTACATGAGTAAAATTGTTAAGCCTTTATCAAAACAGACAGGAATAGGGAAACAAAAAAAAATGTCATGGCCTTAATCCGTACCTGTTGGAATTACGTCTAGAAACGTTAGAAGCAAGACCAGAAACTTGGAGCCCTGTTTTGTTTTTAAAAACCACACAATCACAAAGAAAACCAGCTTCTTACTGCCTAAGGTTTGGGGGTGTTCTGCTCAAGTACCTGTCCCACAGACAGCAACTTTTTATGTTCTGAAGAGAGCATAAGCAAAATATAGAAAAATAAATAAAACAGCTTCTTACAGCCTAAGGTTTGGGTGCTGGGTGGTGGTTTAGTATGTCCCCCACAGGTCACACTCTCTCGAGATCATATGCAGAAACATGGAAAATTATATCCATCTTTTTTTTTTTTTTTTTTTTTTTAGAAAGCAAAAATCCCCCCTACATCCCAAAGCTCTTGAGATCACAAAGGATGGTGCCCTGGGTGCTCTGGATGCTTTGGCAGCATGGGAAGTGGGCTCGGAGACAGACCCTGAGCTCCTTGTTGAAGATGAAGCAGAGGATGGGGTTGACTCCTGCCTGGGCAAATGTCATCCAGACAGAGGTGGTCAGGTAGACCTGGGGGATGGAGCTGGCCTTAATGAAGACCCGCAGGTAGCAGGCCACAATGTAGGGGGACCAGAGGAGCAGGAAGAGCAAAGTGATCATGTAGAACATCTTGCAGAGCCTTTTCTCCATCTTAAACTCCTCCAGCACCAGCAGCCTCTTGATCTGGCTGTGGGTGGCCTGCCTGATGCCCACAAGGGTGGGTGGCGTGGGCCCCCTGCCAAAGCCAGCCGTCCAGTTCGCAGCTGCTTGGCCGGTGGCTCCTGGCCCATGGAAGGTCCAGTTCTGGCTGATGGCTGGTACCAGCTGGGCTGGCTTCATCTTGCGGTGGCCATGGATGAAGAAGAGCAGCTTGATGTAGACCAGGTGGGTGGCAGCAATGACAGCTGCCAGCATGAGCATGAAGCCCAGCGTGTCATTGGCCTTGACGTAGCGGTGCTCGAAGATGCACTGCTCCTCCTCCCGGATGAACTTGTAGGTCCCCACGTCAAAGACAGGGGGGAAAGCCATGGCCATGGAGAGAGTCCACACCATGCACACCACAGCCAGGCAGGTCCAGCCCGTCATGCGCTTGGCGTAGAAGCGGTGGTGGGCAATGGCCATGTAGCGTGTGACCCCCACGCAGAAGAGCAGGAAGGCGGCGTGGAAGCAGAAGAGCACAGCCAGGAAGGCCAGCACCTTGCAGCTGAGGGGCCCGTGGGGCCAGGCGGCCCCGCTGCGCACCGACAGCATGACGAAGGGGAAGCAGGCCAGGGAGCGGAGCCCGTCAGCCAGGCAGAGGTCCAGCAGCAGGTAGTAGGGAGCGCGGTGCAGGTGCCGGTCCTTGAGGATGAGCCAGGCGAAGAGCACGTTGCCCGCCAGGCTCACGCAGAG